GGGCGCCCCTTCCACGTAGCCTTACAGTCACAAGCCTGACGCGGCAATTCATAACCCTTCCACAGCAGCTCCTTTCTCTGAAAGATCTCTGCTGGCACTCTTTAACATTTTAGTTGCAAGAATGATACAATTCCAAAAACATATCAAATACCAGAAAACTACAAACAGAAACACTGTACTTCACTATTAATAATTCACGTAAAATTCACAGCCTAAAAACATTAGTTTGCAGAACAGAACAACAGAACTGAGAGAATTTCCAACATTACTACCTGTTGTAAGCTTGCTCTTTCTACAAACTTGAGTAGTAGTATATTTAAAAAAAAAAAAAAAGTATTAGCCAACTCATTTAATAAAACAACTGGGTAAATTAAAGTGAAGAGATACATTCACATTTTAATTTTGAATTTGCTTACATTTGTCTACTGGTACCCCAGGCTTAGACAGCAGGTTGTTACATAAACCCCCCCACATCAGCATCTTCTCCCTCAAAAATGTGTAATTCTCTCTTTTGTTTAAAGGCTTTATGTTGTCCTGTCCTTAAAATAAACATTTTTGAGGCAGACTTCCTAAGTGGAAAAAAAAATAGAAAAACCTGTAAATTCTGGTTTGGTGGGTTCTGTTTTTCTTAAAAAGAAAATTATCTATTACATATTTGATCAGTTACCCCTTGTGGCAGAGGTATCAGTGAGCACTTACTGTTGTTAACCTAAAGAACTCCATTTTTTCCACAGAACTAGGCTAAGTTTATAGCACCCAGAAGTTAGGAAAAAACCCCATTTTAATCTGTCACTGCATTAAACATAAAAATATTAGTTTGCCTCCCCACCTCCTCCCAAGATGCTTTTCCAAGTAGACTTGTCCTTCAAACTGCACCCATTTTGCTCAGCTCAGTACATTAAAAGTAGACAGGGTAAAAAGCAGTTTTAAATTTTAATAAGATGAGATTCAGGGTTGAAAACAATTAATTTTGAAGCCAGTACTCATGGCTGAAATTTTAGCAATCTCTGCAATACAGTAAAATACTCTAAAGCAGTTTACCTACCTAGTAACCAGAACACATCCACTCACAGTATTTAAGCTAACTGGTTATGTCCAGGATTAAAATAGGTTCACTCTTGGAATTTCCATCTTGTCAGTCACCAGAGGAGATTTTTTTTTCAGTGTAACAGCTTTCATCATCAGAGGTTCAGAAATCCCCTTTGTAGCTTATTTATTCACAAAGACACTTCAAAATTTGTCACAGAACAGACTTTTTCCCAACAGACGCCTTTTCAGAAATATCAAGCTGAGGAAGAAGGGTACGGTTTTGGTTTTGGGCTGAAACAGATGATTGCTTGTAACTATTTTTGCTGTTACACAAACTGAAGGTGTATTTTAGGGATGAGGACGTGTCCCTGTGTGAGATTTTCACTGACAGTAATCTATGGCCCTGATCCTGCTTCTTACAGTCAGTAGGAATTGTACCATCTACTTCCACGGCAGAGGTCTTGTGAGCGCCTGCATTGTTAGAAATACACACAGCATGTTAGATACAGTTGGGGAAAGAAGAGAACTTACTCTCTTCCAGAATAAGTTACACAATTTTATAACTTAAAACAGCTTTATCAATCTTAGACATGTGTATAGCACCAACCACCAACAGTATTATCACTAAGGCACTGGACTGGTACTCGGCCGTCATGGGGTCTGTCTCCCAACCTGTGGTCCATTTCCTGTGCAATCGTGTTTAAATCTTTTGTTTTTCCCGGTACATAATTTTTGACATTGGAAAATAGGATATAATACAAAACATCCTACATCATTTACAGGAATACTGCGCCACGACTAATTACAAGGTGCTCGGATTCTAAAGTGATGAACATTAATACTTCTGTGCATAGATTTACTGGTGAAAGATTATTATCCTGCAGGTATCAATTATGTGCAACACACTGGAACAGAATTAGCTTCAGTTCCTCTGGAGTTAATGACATACTCTAAGTTAAATCTTGCCCTCGATGCCATGATTCAAAATAGTTTTTAGATAAATGACGATAAGCCCTCAGGGCTCCTGTCTATGACAACCGATCCAGCATGCCTTCATATGCTTTTGCATCAAAGTCTGCTCCCAACAACTTACAGAGCTCCAGTTTCAGCCTCTAATAGAGCAGGTTTTGATGCTTTCAGAAGCAGCTGAATCTTTTTTTAGTCTGTAGTGGATTTACCTCTCTACGTTATTTAAAAAAAAAACCCCAAAAATCCTTCAGGAGTTATCACTATTCTGCTGCATTGCACTGGCTGCTGAGTATGCGTACTGGTGTACAAATTACTAAAAGTTCTTGGGTTGAAATAAGTTACTGCAAATGCACAGTAGCTGATTTTGAAACCACAACATCTCTACAATTTATTATTATTTTTACAAAATACCCAAAGTGATCAGACCATATTGTAGGTTACTGGCTTGTCAAAGTTATGTTTTAAAATCAAAACCATTTCTGAGTTACAGAAGTGCCAAAGCAATCTTGAACCAGGTTTGTTTGTTGTTTTTGTTCTTTTTTTTTTTAAACCAACCCCCATCCAACAAAACAGTTGTATAACTTAAAACAGAAACAAGATTTTGTGTTGGAAACGGTTTAAAAACCAACCCACCAAATCACGCTTCAGCAGAAGCCTTGTACGGCAAAGGTTTAGCTTAGGGCAATTTAGTGCCAAGATAGAGACCCTCTATGGGTTTATAATGGAAATACTGACACAACCTCAACTATAGTGATGCAAATGTGCCCTAAAACACTGTATTTGCTTTTATTAATAAAAGTGGTAGTGTTTACATTTGCAGGTATCTTACACTTCAGCATCACGATGAATACTGAATAGAATGAGTTAAATTTTGGCTGTAAGGTCAGAAGTTTCCAAACAGATGAATGAGACAGAAGTGAAAGTCCTCAATCATGAAAACAAGAAGTTCAAATAAATAAATAGAACAAAACTAGGAAATATGGGTAAGCATTAGGTTGGAATGGTTCAATTAACTGCAAATTATGGCCACTAAATTAGAGACAGAAGAAAACACAGTTACTTATTAAATAGCAAGCATTAAAGCTTTATGTTTTTGTATTTTTTTAAAAAAGAAAGCTGTTAAAAATAAGACTTGCATTTACCAGGCCACCAAACTGCATAGACTAATAAAGAGACTAACAAAGGCAATACTGAGACATTAAGACACACACACACACTCCATACTTGTGCAACTCAACCATATTCAAAACAATTGCCTTTTTCCTCACCTTAAAAAAAAAAAAAAAAAGCATCCCCTAAACATCTCTGTTCATATAAAGCTTTAGGTTTCTTGAACTGTTACTGTCTTATAGAGCTCATTGTTATTACATATCCTTCTCATTATCAGAGAAAGAAGCTGATTTGATTTTTATTTTTTTAAATGGAGGTGCTTTGTTTCTCTCAGAGGAGAGATTACATTCCTCACGCCACTACAGGTTTTCCCCATTTATAAATTTGGTGTTTACACCAACTCCTCTGAGGCTTAAAAAGATAAGGGTTGGCACTAAATTAAAGATTTTGGCTCCCGTAACTAAAATTAAGGCTCTCAATGAATTTCCTTTCCACTATGCGTGTCCCGTTTTTACCTAGTGGAAACACCAGCCCTTAACCTACAGGCACTGGATACATTCTTTAATTGTAGGGGGCTATTTTCAGTCACGTTCTCCTACAGTTCTACCCAGTTCAGGTGGCAACTTTCTAAACCTGCAGACAGGAAACATCATTTTTAAAAGACGAGTAGCAACCGCAGCTAAAGTTTTTAGCCGATTTTAGTGTCTTCTGGAAGATCACTAGTAATTTTGAATGAAGAGAGATGGGACAGTAACTCCATCAACTCCCTGCTCTTTATGTGAAAACGGACTAGGTGATTAATTCTCATTTAAAGGTTTAGCCACAAAAGCAATGCAAACCTCACACTTCTGAACAGGTGCAGTTCTTAGTATTAAAAAGGCATCTGATACCTGAAGCAAATCTAGCTGCACAGACAGCACTCACCACGCCCCAATTTTAATTTAAACCAGACCTCTTCCCAAAAAAGAAAGTTAACACAGTCTCTTGGGTGGAGGGAAGCTAGTGTGAAAGGCAAAGAGGCGAGTATTTTGGTGTTTGGTTTTTGTTTTGTTTCTTTTGTTTTCCTTTTAAAGTCACTGCAGTACGATCCAGATCAGTTTAGGGGTGTAAATGAAGGGGGGGAACAGGGGTGTTTGAGTAATATAGGCTAACACTGTTCTAGATGTGTTATTACAGCTGTAATTTCTGACTCTGTACAAATTGTACACGTAGGTTTAGACACATGAAAAAGTAACACACTCACAGAGACATAAAACACCTAGGTATAAAATATAAAGCAGTGTAGTAGTTACTAAAATTACATGCTCTCTTATTGCTACAGTGATTTTTGCTCTTTTTCTTTTTACTGTACCACATGTTGTTCTAAGCATATAATTTGCATAAATTATTCAAGTTTAAGAAAAATCCACACATCTTCACTTTAAGCTACTTATATAGTTAATATAAAACAAAAAGGTTCTAAAGTATCTCTTTATTAAAAGAGAAATAAAAAGGTCATTTGAAACTGGAATTCAGTGGCCAAATCCAAGGGCAGTGCACACCTTGTCACTCTGGTAGCAGTACGCCCACGCAGCGGAAGCGGAGGTTGGTGGGGTATTTGGCCCAGTCTAGAGATGGTCACCAGACCTGCATGATGCCCTACGTGTCTGTTATTGTTCTGGTTTTGCCTTTAGCAAAAAGGACTATGAATGACCAAAGACTAACATTTATAATTTGTAGCAAAATTTGGTTTATGTAGAAACAAGCCATGTTTTGCATTTGGATAGAGATTTAAATGAATTAAAGCTAAAAATTAAAAAGCATGATGCTGCAACATCTGGTCACTTGTTGAAGACCTCACTTTTAAAGTGGTTAAGTTTGCACAATTTGTACTTTTTTCTTTTTTTTCTTTTTTCTTTTTTTTTTTTTTTACTAAACAGTATTTTTCCTTCTTTTATAAACCAGAAAAACTAAACTACAGATAAATTTTCCCTACCTTGAGCTAATGCTGCAGATAGGGTTGACAAAGCTGTACAGCGCAATCAAACATACTTACATCTTAGCTCATTGTACAGGTACAGCCATAATCAAGGCACAAAGATCTTCTACAAGTTATTTTTTTTCAATAAAGTTGTACAAAATAATACATTTTACAGTCTGTACAAGAATAATAATCCAGCAGTAAAATAAAAAATGAGGGGAGGGAAGAAGAAAAAGAAGGGAAAGACTGTGAGGACTACAGTCCAGATAATGATTTTTATAGCAGACGGGATCATCAGTGGACAAACTGAAAACAGTGTGTGGTTAACTCTTTCTGCAATCACAGGCCATACGCAGTTCAATTCATAAACGTCCATGGTTGTCTTTAGACCACCAAGACTGGTTTTAAAAATACCCTTCTGAAAGGTAGCAGTTGGTTTTTGCACTGTCTAGGTCTGTTGTAGAATTGTCAGTATTTCCGTTCAAAGCCACATTACAGTCAGAGAACCAAACTCAAGTGTCTGTCTTCAAACTTGGTCTGTGACTTGGCACCTTCTTTAGTCTGATGCAGTGAATGATACAAAGTGGAGATCACGGGTTATATGATTATGCCCACAACAGTGCTAAATTACCTAAAGTTTTCTCTCCCCAATTTTTGTTTTACATTTTAATTTTTTTTATCCCCAATTCTTTCAGGTGCTCCACATTCAGGGCTTTTAATTAATTAGTTTTTATTTCCTTGGGTTTTTTTTTCTTTTTTTTGTTAATAACAGTGTTAGGGAATCCTCATGGAAATGGCCTTTTAAGTGTTAGGGGCCATCTCAAACTGTCCGAGGGGTACAGAAGCAAGCTTAGAAGTGCTGCTATTGTCCAGCAAGGAGAAAAAGTTGAGGGGTGCAAATCAATGGGAGATTCAAACAGTTCTCTTCCACCCTATGTGGGCAAGGGTGTTTTTTTTTTCTTTTTTAATAAGGAATAAGGAGTCCAAAACACAGAAAAAAGTGCTCTCCATCACAACAACTCGTATTGGCGAAGGTGCATGCGCTGAATAATGTCCCGACAGTCATTGAAAACCCTCCGGATGTTCTCTGTATCCACTGCACATGTGAAGTGAGGATAGCAATAGTGCCTTCCATCTCCACTTGCTGTGCTGATTCTCTGTTAAAAGTAAGAGAGAGATACTGCGTTAAAAGAAAACTGACTGGGGAAAAAAACCCATGTTCTCAAAACTCAGGTGAATGAAGCTTAAGATACCTATGTGTGAGCTGTGTTTTCAAAGGGTGTGACTAAGTGGCAAAACACCACAATTTTTCACTCTCTCACCTCAAACACGAAATTTAAAATGATCAGAATTATATGGTGAGAAGGTCACTGCGTACTGGGGAATTTCAGAGTTGAACAAGAACTCAAGAAAGTGCTATTTATATACAGCTTTGGTGGCTTTAGCCACACAACTCCTAGTCAATTTGTCCATGAAGAAAGTGGGATTTTGCCTCCTTGTACAAGGCTTTTGTCCCTGCTTTATGCTTATAGAAAGCCTCCCTCAAAATTTTATTTTGCTCCATTTTAAAATGGCTCCACAATTTGCCTGCCATGCTCACCATTACAAGTAATTGTAATAATATTTAAAAAAAAAAATCTATGTCTATTATAGCTTCAGCTGACCAGTAATGGGAAAGATAATATGAAAACAACATTAATATTTTACAGAGGATGCATCTTCTGATTAGTGTTTGTCTTTAGAAATAATGCATGGAATAAAAATCTGGCTCCGTTAATAACAGCAGGACTTCACTCATCGTTCTGTTTGAGGTTCCTTAATTCTCACCAATTCTTTTGCTATTTTGCTATGTCTCAGCAAGTATGCCGACAACACCAAGCTGTGTGGTGGGTCAACATGCTGGAGGGAAGGGATGCCTTGACAGACTGGAGGTGCGCCCGTGCGAACTGCATGGAGTTCAACAAGGCCAAGTGCAAGGTCCTGCACGTGGGTCGGTGCAATCCCAAGCACAACTAAGGCTGGGCGGAGAATGGATTGAAAGCAGCCCTGAGGAGAAGGACTTGGGGGCGTTGATTGATGAAAAGCTCAACATGACCTGGCAACGTGTGCTCACAGCCCAGAAAGCCAACCGTGTCCTGGGCTGCATCCAAAGCAGTGTGACCAGCAGGTCCAGGGAGGGGATTCTCCCCCTCTACTCCTCTCTGGTAAGACACCCCCCCCCGCAGTACTGCATCCAGCTCTGGGGTCCCCAGGACAAGAAAGACGTTGAGCTGTTGGGGAGAGTCCAGAGGAAGCCACGAAGATGCTCGCTCAGAGGGCTGGAGCACCTCTGCTATGGAGACGGGCTGAGAGAGCTGGGGTTGTTCAGCCTGGAGAAGAGAAGGTTCCAGGGAGATCTTAGAGCACCTTCCAGTCCCTACAGGGGCTCCAGGAAAGCTGGAGAGAGACTGGTGACAAGGGCAGGGAGTGACATGACAAGGAGAATGACCTGAAGCTGAAGGAGGGGAGATTGAGAAGAGATCTGAGGAAGAAATCCTCCCCTGTGAGGAGGGTGCTGAGGCCCTGGCACAGGGTGCCCAGAGAAGCTGTGGCTGCCCCTGGCTCCCTGGCAGTGTTGAAGGCCAGGTTGGATGGGGCTTTGGGCAACCTGGGCTAGTGGAGGGTGTCCCTGCCCATGGCAGGGGGTGGGACTGGATGGGCTGTGAGGTCCCTTCCAACCCAAACCAGTCTGGGATTCTATGATTCTATTATGTCATGTGTCAACAAACAAATATCTGAAGAGCAGCTAACAGCAAAGCTCTTAAACGTAACAGTATTTTATGCAGTGTGGATGTTAAATATAAACAACACAAAAAGTGATGGCATTTTGCAATAGGAGAAGGTATGTAACAGCTTACATTTGAGAAGAATCATGTAAGAAATACTGAAAGAAAGGAAATACTTACAAGAAACTCGTCTCTAATAAAATACTTGGCCCTTGTAACTCTGGGATCCTCACCAGGCTCTGGTGTTGCTGATTAGTAATAAAATAAGTATCTCATTAAAACAGATGTTTTTTGGTTATAGCACCTAAAAATCATAACTTTTTCTGTTTTCTGCTTACATATGATAGAAACATACTTTTCAAAACTGACTATAAGGTAAGAAAAAACATAACATATTATTTAAAACAGCAAGTTTTCAGGAGAACAAAGGAATATTACAGTGGCCATAGTGTGGGGCATTTGGCAGGTTAGAGAAATGGCCACAGGTATGATGAGGGGGAGCTCAGAGGACACATTTGTGACAAGCTGTGCTGTGGTCTACACCAGCAAAGTAACAGGATTTTGGCATGATGAAATTATTAACATATTAGATGTATAAAAGACAAGATTCTCTCATTATTAATGCCTAAAGTTTGACATTACAGTTTGGCTGAAAGACAAAGAAGATTACATCTACACAAGAGTTTTCAAGTCTTAGCTGAAATTACAAAAAACATTACAAAAGCGATTAACAAGGAAATGGTAAATTGCTAATAAAACTTAAAAATCTTACCATCATCTGGTGTAGTGTAGCGAGCAAATTCTGGAAAGTAGTCTTCAATTTTAGATTTCCCTGCCAAAACTTTCTCTGCTAGCAAATCTTGTTTATTCAGGAAAAGAATTACTGAAATGGTCCGTAGCCACCTGTAGAAAATTGAAACCAAACACTCTGAGAAGGCAAAGCTAGGATCATACAGCAAAAAGAAACAGAATCCAGTTCTGGATGACACACTATAATCATTTTGAAAGGTTCCTTTTATACCTGAATCCAATGCAGTAATTCCGGGTGTACACACCCTAAGTTCAGTTTGTGGGCTTCTACCATGGACCGTAAAAGTCCCCCCGCTTTCTACTGTTAATCCAAGTACATCAAATAGGTGAGCGTATCCACTTCTTAGTGTGCTACTGTATCACTGCTTTAATTACTTCAGCCTCAATATGGCAACTACCAATTCGTAACGCTCCAGAGTTTTCTTCGATTACATGAGTGTCTTAGACATGAGTCTAACAGGTAGGCAGTGGTGGTTAAAGACCGGCTTGGACTGTGCTGTGAGAAGCAAATAACACAGGCCATGCTGCTGTTGTGGGGTGACCCTGGTGGGCAGCGAAGCACCGCACAGCCGCTCACTCACTTTCCCGCTCAGCAGGATGGGGGAAGAGGAAGGGAAGAATAAAAGCAAGGAAATTTGGAGGTCCAGATAAAAAAATATAAATAATAATTGTTTAATAAGTGACGGGTAAGTGGAAGAGAGAAGAAAACAAAACAAAACAAGTGATGCAAAGGCAATCACTCAGCACCTCCCATGGGTAGGCTGGTGCCCAGCGAAAGATGGCTAACACCCCTACCCTAACCTCCTGTTTGCCCTTTCATTGTGGTATGGAACATCTCTGTGTTCAGTTTGGGTCATCTGCCCGGTTGTGTCCCCTCCCAGCCTACTGCGCACCCCCAGTCTACTCACTGGGGGGGCAGAGTGAGAAACAGAGAAGGCCTCAATGCTCTGCAAACTGTTCAGCAACAGAGATGTCATCAGTGTGTTACCGGGATTGTTTTGGGCAAAAATCTGAACTGGTGCCATTATGAGCTGCTATGCAGAAAATTAACTCTATCCTAGCCAGGCCCAGTACACGAGTCTTGACTATAGCATAAGACAGGATTACTAATTTATGTGCATAAGATAGGATTACTAATTTATGTGATATGAACAATTAAACTTCAATTCACAGACCTGTTGTTCCAGATACTCTTGAAGAGGTTTAGTGCTTCTTGAAGCCGATTGGTCTGATTGTCCTCTCGTATAACCATGTTGTAGCTACTGCTCGCCACCACAAATATGATAGCAGTCACATCTAAATCAAGAAATACCCATCAGTTAAGAAATTACTGATTTTAGAATAACCAGGAATCCCAAAGTTCAATAAAAAGCTGCCAGACTCTCAAGCTTCATGAAGAGAACAGGCCGGAATGTTATTGCTGACAGCTTTCTAAGTACCAGAAATAAAAAAAGAAAGCGAAGAAACCATTAAAGATAGGAAAGGCAGGCCACAGAGCAGAAGCTGACAGAGTGACAGAAAATGTAGAAAAGAAAGGAACAGAAATGAGAGAGAGAAACCGAAGAAAGCTAAGATCAGAATTTAAAGAAGGTTTAAAAGGCGCAACTCTGAGTTATCAAGACAGTACAGGGAGTCCCTTGGGGGAAGACCTCAGGACAAATGGCACTTTTCATCTGCGTGAATAGTAATAATAAAAATAGTAGATGGCTGTGAATTCACGGTTAATTGCTCCAGTCCTCCTATAGCGTGCTGTACTGCTGAGAGGCCCCTATCTCTTTCCTGGGAGATATTCACAGCATCACAGAATCCAGGCTGCTGTGCCTCTGAGTGGCTGTGCCGCTCCAGACCCTGCACACTGACTTCCAAGCCCATCTACCTCAGACATCAACAGCAGAGGAGTCACATCACGAGGTAAGAGGAAGAGGAAGGAGCAGAGGTAAAAACCCAAACAAATATCTTATTAATAGCACAGAAGAAAATATTGCACAGTAGTTCCACACATAGGTGAAGTGTTCAGGTGATACTCTATGACAGTAACCATAGCAAAATACGATGAATTGTAAGTTGCATTCTACTTTATCTATTCTGTAGGATCTCATCATAACTTTTCTACAAAAAGCTAAACTTTTGCATATCTTCCTAAATATTTTGTCCAAACAACAACCAAAAAAGACAAAAATATTTTCACCAACTCTAGCTTTAAGAAAACTTGTGTGGACTAAAATAAACAGCCGTAGTGAAGGTACCAGGATACAGTTTAAACTAGGTTGTTTTGTGTGTATGGGAGTGAAGAATATCATCTGCTAAACTAAACTGCCTGGGACATGAGTGTTAAGACTCTAGATCTTACAAAATGCCTGCAGACATTTCAGGTCTTACCGTATCTAGGCTGGTGCTATGTCAGCATTGGAAGGAAACTGCCTTATATACAGGTTACTTAAATGAGGGTATTCGTTTATATGTTTTCAGTAAGGGCCTTCCCCTTAGGGCTGTTTTTCAAGAAATTGTATTAATGTGCACGGCTCCCTAGAAAAGCACAGGTTTATAAATTTCATCATTAACTTGTTCGACAAGGGCATTTTGGGGCCACACTATATATACACACTGTTGTAGTGTACTACATACCGTATGCAACGCCACGCCTAACACAGCAGATGTTCCCTACTCTCATACTGCATTAATGGGTCAGCGCTCATGGGGAAAGAAGCACCCATGACATAGTGATGTGGATGCAATTATGTGCAAAACTATGACATTCTGATTTTAGCATATATTAATTATCCCGTAATTGTGTATTTTGTATAGGCACAAACATATGTAAACCTTCACTTGGAGGACAGAATATAGCTTGGAATTTTACACTCAAATAGCTGGCAAATAATGCACAACCACAACACCTAATTAAACAAAAAGAGGGAAGCCGAAGAAAATGGACAAGCTATGAAAAGTTGCTAAACTTGAATTCCTTTCCACCTACATTCTCCCTGAAGATATTCTATGCAGTTACGCAAGTTTACATGTCAAGAAAAATTCCATCCCATATGCACGTTCAGATAATACCTTATCAAGCTACATGGAAAAGATGGCAGCTTTCACGCAGTGAGAAAATTAAGACTGGACATTAAAATTTTGCAGAGAACTATTTTATAAAACAAATATAAATTCTAATCATACCATTAAAACACTGGATCCATTTTCGACGTTCATCTCGTTGCCCTCCAACATCAAACATACTAAGAAAAAGCAGAAATTGAGTCACAATACATTTTGTGTTTGGGGGTTTTTTTCCCTGAATGCAAACAGGAAATGTAAGAAACTTTAGGACTTCTGTATCATAGAAGCTAAAAGGAATGGAGGATTACGAGAACCTGAACAGGTAACAGTCCACTGACATATGCAAGCAACCTTTCATCACAAAATATAATTAGGTTTACTTTCACTAACACCTACACTTGAAGGGTAAGAAATTCTGGCATAGGTACAGTGCACATTCATTTTCACCCTCACAAGGCAAGACATTAAAAAAGGTCCTGCAACAAGTCATTTGCTGAAACAAGTATCACACATCTAAAGTCAACAAGACCAGACTAATCTCAACAGTTTTTGTTTGGGTCAAGCAATCTTTCCAACCTGGGACAGTAAAGAGAACATGCATTTTCTGTTACTTAGATACGTACAAAGTTTTTGCTCACATGTTTGACTATATAAGCTAGCAGTGAATCAAATCATCAGGAAAGGCATCAGTAAAAACAGATCTAAAACATTTTGTTCTTTGCGATTTAAAATAAAAGCAGAAAATTGCACACCAATTTGCATTTCTTTTTAAAGCCAGACTACTAAATTCAAAATAATAAAATACTTGCTTTCTATTAAACATCAACTTGAGAAATGCAGTAGTCTCAATGACTATATGGTAGTATGTCCTCCAATTTACCTTTGTGTTCGTCTGCATTGTATTAAAAAAAAACCCCAAACCAAAAAACCTCTGAGGATACTTACTGAAAATTTACTTTGTCCACCTGAAACTTGGTTTCAAAAATTCCTGATGTCAAAACTCTGCATCTGAGAAGATCCTACAACATAAAGGAAAAGTCACTGATTCAACACAGATACTTCATAATTCTTCATATATACAACACAGAAATAAACCTCTTTTACCCAGTGCTGACAGTGTATGCTGTTCTGCAAAAACAGAATAGAGCATTATGAAGCTTAATTTAAGGTTTTGATCTTGAAAACGTGTGCACACGTAGGGGTGTGGTCTACTTTTAAAGCACATACATTTTCATAATCAGGTTGTTAAGTGCCAAGTGTGGAACAGAAGGAAACGTTTCTTTGCTGTTGGAGTGGTGAGGCACTGGAACAGGCTGCCCAGAGAGGTTGTGGATGCCCCATCCCTGGCAGTGTTCAAGGCCAGGTTGGATGAGGCTTTGGGCAACGTGGTCTAGTGGAGGGTGTCCCTGCCCGCAGCAGGGGGGTTGGAACTAGATGATCTTTAAGGTCCCTTCCAACCCAAACCATTCTATGATTCTATGATTTACAGGCCACTTAAAGCAAACACAAGTGTTCAGAGCACTGCAGAACTGTCCCTGGAGATTAGATGATGCATTCACAGATTTCTGTGGGAAAGTGGCACGCAACGGGATCTTTGAACTACCACCAAACAATTCCCAACCCCAGAAGACAGATCTGTCTCTCCCCAAAGTGTTCAGTGCTTGGCTATTACAAGCAGTGTCTAGATCTCAGAATTTTCCATTTTTTCCTTCAAAGAACTGGGAGTTCAACCACTTAAACCTTATAAGAATTGGGCTTTTCGAAGATAAAACTTGAAATTTCCTGTAGAGACAAAAATGATCACCAGAAGTTGTGAGCTACAAACAACCGAAATTGTTACAAGTGCTACAAAATCCTATTAAAACCAAACTGCATTGGCTTTTATTTACTGTGTATTGCAAAGCAGTGACAGCCATGTACAGTGCCTAGAGGGTAACTGATCTAGAAGAACCTAATTTGCACAGGCTTCAGACTGAGCACACAGTCCAAAGATAACTACAAAATACCACTTTGAATTAAACTAAAAGTTTTATAACTTAGGACTTCAAGTTTTTGTGTTCTTCATAGACAATGGGTCTAAATAGCAGATAAATAGTAAAATCTGTAGCAGACAAGATCATGTAAGCAGAACAGACTGTAAAAAAAAAATTATATGCACAGTAAAAGCTCTGTTCTCACTACACAGGTACTAAACTGGTTAGTCAAAGTCAAAACCATGCAAAATCCAAAGGTTATACAACTCTGTTAAATCATTAAACAAAATGGCTATATTTTAACATGAGTTTTCTGATAGTAAATTATTGTTGTCTGGCTATTTTAATACTCATATTGAACTATGTATATATTTAAACATTGTTCTAACTTGTGTTTGAAAGAGTTTGAAAAGTTGAACGCCCCAATAAACAGAAGCAAATTTGGAAAGCTGGATTCTTGGGAGCTCTGCAGCTCTAGAAATCAATACAAGTAGGATGGTAAAAGAAAAAAAACCAAACCAACAAACATTTACTCACCTCAAGGGGAGGAAAAAAAAAAGAAAAAGAAAGGAAGTGATTTGATTATTACACGCTCTTAGGAGAAACACGTAAGATTCCAGGGGACAATCCAGATGAGCCTGTTTTAATGTATACTTGTGGGGGGTTTCAATGTAGTCAGTGGTCCCAAACAAGCACAGTAACTATATGTGCTTGCTTACAGCAGCAAAAGTATGTTATCGTTTTACTTAAGTAACTACTAATTACTTACCTTACTTAAGTAATTACTATAAGTAAATTTTAAGTACTTTACTTAGCACTATATACTAAGTACAAGTAAATACAAGTTAAACTCCTGACACCCTTAGCCTCCAACATAAACCTGACACTTCTTTTAAAGTTTCAAATTTCCAAATTTCAATTATATTAACCTATATTTTTAGTATTTTGTTTCTTGAAAATAGAATTATTTCAGTGATAAGAAAGCCTCATTTATAAAAGAACTCAGATTGTTGAAAGGATGAATGAATGAATGATTGATTTATTCTTGAACAGCTTTAAAGGATACAAACTGCTCTCTCCTCATCAATATTGTCTGCAAAAGTTTTGGGACATTAATGTGTTTTTTTGGTTATTTATCCTATAGAAGTATGCTAGATGCTTAATTGCATTATTTATGGGCAGAAAGTTAGGCATATACAAATGATTCTGGTTTAGGGATTTCATCCTAAAAAGATCCTCAGATTACTTGTAACAAAATTAAAAGTACAATTCTTATTCTGATAAAAAAATTTAAAATCTTCTAACAAGGTTATTTTTACAAAATCTGGTCTACAGTGGGAGCCAGTGGGGCTAAGAAGATACCAACCAACTTTGCATCAAAGAAAGCACATGATGGTTATTCAGCAAGGAGGGCAAACATTGTAAAGTACTCATTCTAATGGCTATTTGAGTTTTAGTGTCACAGAAGCATGATGTAAGTCTTAAATCTAGACAGATTTTCATTTCACAGTACATTTACATGTATAAACATAATCCCAATCCAAATGATAAAGTAATTTTAACTGCAATACTAAATAGGTACGGTACCTGGTAATACCTATATTAGTGCCACAAATGGCAGTTGGAAAATTCATGACAGAGTTAGCCTCAAAGACAGAGGGGGGCAGATAAATCATGTAATTTCTTCATGAAGCTTTCCTTACCTGGTCAGACGGTGTATACTCATTTTGTTTGACTATGTCAATCTTGTCTAGAAAACTGGGGAGGAAAGAAAAAGATTAACTTTTCATTCTCAAATTAGACAAACTATCTAACGCTTTCCAGAAAAGAGTTGGCACATTTTAATGCACTCAAGATTCACAAAATGCTAAATACAACTAAATTGCTCAACATGGGTGTGCTACAATGTAAAACCTGCATTTCCTAGCATCTCCCTGCAGAGGGCCAAATCCACAGTTTTATTAATCGGGACCGGTAATCTCATTCCAACCCCCTCCCACTCTGCGCTCTCTGTTAACAAACATACAAGTAGTTTAATTTAGTTAATTTATTCACATAAATTGTACAATATAATCTGCTACTTCTAACAGTAAAACAATAAATCAAATAATTGCCTACATGTAACTTTCCCTAAAGATGAGTATTTTTTAAAATTTATCATCACTATAATTCTTTTAATAAATGAAACCCCGAAACCAATTTTATTAAAAGGTCAGTAAAGTGAGGGGGAATACTGATTTTTCTGTCAATTGTTGGTACCAGCTTTTCAGTTTACTTTCTGGAGGAGTGGCAGTAGTAGGCCAAATAGGTATAAAAAGATTTATTTTATTCAAATTCACCAGGCGTCACCTACGCAGGATATTCTGGAGTCTTTAAAATGTTTTTTACCAATTAACCGTAACCTCCTAAATATCTTTCACTTCAACTCAAAGAGCAAAAATCTCAAGCAACCGATTTGTTAACTCTGTTCTATTGTGTTACTATGAGACTCAAAGCCGTAGCAAAGCAGCAGCTTCAGGATGCAGACCTGCCATTTCAGTCTTATTAGGAGATCTAGCAATGCTTCTACAGTTAACTTTACCCGTAACATTAATGATTAATCACAGTCTCAAAACCAATACACTTGAAGTTTCCTTTTAAATTCCTTTGCACAAATTCTTTTCTTTACCAAGCAGAAATCAAAAAGAAAAGGTGAGTGTTCCCTTCCGATCCCTACACATAGGTAGGGAGGCTGAAAGTGCATTAACTCCAGTCGCAGGCAACAATTTAAAGGGGGGAAAAGTCAGATGTGTCCCAGATTCACAAATCAGAATCCAAGGTCCCATTAAAATCAGCCAGGGTCTTAGCCCCTGCCTCCCAACTGACCTCTAAAACACCGAATGAAGAGCAGGGGAAGGAGGAAAAATAATTGTATGTTATAACAGTGGCTTCAGCGTAACACCCTTCTCACCAGGAACTAGATGACCATCTTGTTTCACAGACAATAAAAAGCAGTTTTTATTCAGTCTGAATTACAGAATTTTAAACACATTAAAATGTATCTTAGTAAATATGCTACTAAAAACATGAGACAAAGCATAAAGATCTATTTCCATCATAAAAGGTGACGTGGAGACAGTTATACAAGGATAAACTCAATGACAAAATGTGTATTGCAATTTGCAAGCTGGATTTTTTCCTCATCTCTTCCAGGCTGTTAAGTAATTTAATATATTCTTCCTTAATCTGAAGGAAAAGTAGTAAAGCTTTTTGTTCAGTACACAGAGGATGTTAAACACATACAACAATCATGAATTCCACCGAGTATGAGTGTTTCCACATTATATTCTCTCCTAAGACCACAGTTTCAGAATCATGTGGCAATTTTACAAGTTGGACGATGTTTAAAAAATGTTCAGAACATAATATGTTCATAAAGATATCAAGGTGATTACTGCAATGACCCAGCCTTTCTGTACTGAGTTTATCTAAGCATAACATTTTGTACAAGGTTCCACAAGAGGTGGAATTTTTAGTTTTGGGGTTTTTTTGGTTTGTTTTGTTTTTAAACACTCTGCTAATCAGCTTAATGGATTTTGGAAACTGACAATTAGAAAATAACAACAAGATATTGCTAAAACCTGGAACTGAAAGTACAAACCTCTTACTGTTGTTTATGCAGACTATTTTTAGGCCTATGATTTCCTTGAAAAACATCAGCCACATAGGAGCAGCAGTACTGTACTTGAGATGCATTCCAATAGCAACGTTCACGCCAGGTAAAACAAGTTGGAATGGAATAAATGTTTCTTCTTCTCCCCAAAACAAGTTCCAACATCCAGGAACATCTGACACTCGTAACAATGCTCATTCAAGAAGGAAATCTTGCACTGTGTGATAGCTATCAGAAAAACTACCCTGCTTCCAGTGGCATTTTAGGGAAAACAGTGCAACGCTATACATGAAATCAAGATTTCCTCCTGTGCATGTACCTTGTCATAAAAGTCTGCTCTAGCAACTTCAGAAAGGGCCAAAGACTTTAAAAAACAGTTTGATTTTTTGCTCAGACATAAAGAAATGGGACCATTCTTTCAGTTGTTCAACTGAAAAATAAATGTGTCTGTAAGCAGAAAAGAGTAGCAGAAATTCGATCTGGACTGATACATCTAAAATAAGGAGCAACAGTGGGAGCATGAGAGTTCAGAAAAGATCAATACACTATGTTCAGAGACCTCCAAGTCAATGCTTGTCAAGACCAAATAATTTATCCAGTAAATTAAACTAATAACCAAGTCAGATGAGAACAAAGCCTAATTCAACATAAAAACAAATTCACCATCATTAATTTCTATTTTTAATTCTTGTTATGCTCTACCCAAAACAGAAGCGAGGCCATTTCAGCATTACTCTGTGTGCTGAAATCACTGCTGTTATAGATTGTTCTGAGTCTACTGGAGATATGCCCATCTGCTATGTCAGCAGTGAATTTCACAGGGAGAAAGAAAAGTGACCTTGGTGAAATAATTCAAATAAAACTGTCAAACCACGAAACCAAATTTTATACTGTGAGCAAGTCTTGCACCAAGTCACAAAGTCAGGTTTTTTTCTTCTGTAAAATTTTCCCAGAAATTATATGGGAAAGCTATTTTCCAGAAAGCAAATAATTCATTCAGCATCGCTGCCAATTCTCACTTAGGGCCAGATTCTGGACATGACTAAATAAGAGGATCAGTTATTGCTCTGCAAAATACTGTCACTTAGTATAAGGCACTTTTGCCTGTGTTATAAAACACAGATACTGCTATGACACATGTTAAAAAAACAAACAAAAAAACCCCCCAAAACAAAAAAAGAAGACTTTAGGTCATTTGTAGTCAGCAAGACTGGAGAAGAAGCATCTCAAGGACAGCAGCAGATGCGTCCCTGGGATATTAAAATGAAAGATATTGAAAAAAATTTTAAACATTCTGAAATAAAAAATGTGTCATCTTTGTGAAGAAACAAGTGTCATTAATTTTAAGGGGTGCACTTAAGAGGCAGACTTCACACAGAGACAGACAGAGCAGCTTTCCTTAGCTCCTGCGGGACAAAGGAATTAAGTCACACACATATCCCCAATTCTTACCAAATTTTTAATAAGCCTGGTATGTCAAAACCATGTCACAATTTTCAGATCAAGATATATACCGGTTTATTCTAGAGTTCTCTCTCATACAGAGAGAAATGTTATATCCCTATGTGGGGGGAATTTCCTGAATGAACAATGCTGCTGCCAGACTAAGAACTGCAGCCTGCACTCATTTTTCCCCACTGAAAAGGTATAGAACATTTTAAATCCTCTGCCTCAAGAAACAACATGACTTCAGGGTTTGGGGAAGAATGGGGAGGGGGAAATCAGACTGCCTTTCCCTGAGCATTTCCTGACAGTCTTTTCAATAAAGAGTAACTTGAAATTTTACTCTTTGTGATCTGACGAAATGGTTGACAGACAAGATTTTTTTATTTTTTTTTAAACTTTGTGAAGAAGAGCTTTTGTTTTCAGTCTAGAACAACACTGGAAAGGTCTCTTCAAACTGACAACATGCCTATATTTGAAGAGCTTTATTTCCATCAGATTTTTTTTTTTGTCAAGTCATAACCTGAATTTGTATACAAAATGTCTCTTTCAAAAGACATATTAAGATCTCATCTTTAGTGTCAGTACAACACTGCAAATCAAGAATTCCAAATTTCAATCCCAACTAAATACAACATTTGTTTGTAACTTAGAACCCTCAACAGTAGTACTGGAACTCCGTATTTGTGAAGTTTCTTGCCTCTGAAAGCCTCAAGGTATTTTACAGACAGTAAATCATACTCACAACTCCTGCTTGCCTTCATTCATGCTGCATTTCCTGCCTCTACCATCGCATCCTGAAACGCACACCTTACGTTAACCCTATTTTAAAGGTAGGGAAAAATCAAGGCACACAGGGAGTAAGTTAATTGCCCAGAGTCCCTTGAGTCAGTGGAAATGGAATTTTCATTTCCTCTGAGTCATGCGTTTTTATCAAGATATTACTAAGAATTAACCAGAATATTACTAAGAATTACCAAGATTTTACTAAGAATTAAAGTTCTTTTTACCCCAATCACCTCTAAAACAGTCTTTACAATTCAGGTTTCTACGTCTGCAAAGAAATTAATATTTGGTTACTGATCTTCCTACAGACCAAACTGTGCAGATTTTTTTTTATTTATTTATACCCTCTCAGGACTACAAAACCAACCCAAAGCTCCCTAAAGTAGTTTTAAGCTGAAATTTAACTCAACATTAATAGTGTTTACAAGTAAGAATGTATTTTTTATTTCTCAGAACAGAGCGTGCTTTGCTTCTACTTTAAGTCCTTGCCATAATCCTTTAGGTTATTCAGCAACAGCTTCCTAAAAGCTAAACAGTTAACTATTTGGTAAATTCTTTCTTAAGCTATTTTGTCTATGCTGAAGGCAGAGTCACAGGATTAGTACAAAGATACAATACTCTCTTTAAAAGGGTATTCGAGCGGAGAAATATATGATGTACATACATAGGGACATTAGTAGACTTTTCGTTTTGCTTTTAAAGATATACTGGTATTTTCTAGGATTTGCAAAGGTGGAGTTTTTGCTGTTAAGGTGGCCATAGGAGACATGCCACAAACATGTTACTGGATAATTTAAAAATACTCAGACAGGCACAGCTCTTTTTTCCCCCTAAACAAAACTAGGTAAGGGGAGAGAAAGAAAATTCCATCAAACCC